ACACAGGTACTGCTAAATTTACAACCAAGTACTGTAACCTTAACTGAAGTCTACTTCCCCCCCTCGAGTCTCACCATACGGCCCTCCATGTAATAGCAAGCTGACGTCACTAACATACAGTAGGAATCTTTCATGGCAGACCCAAAAATGTTTCCATCTCTCTCTAAAACTCAATAAAACAATAGTTCACGTCACTTTAGTCAATGTACAGGAGGTGGACTAGATAATAGAAACAGCTGACAGTATAATGCAGTCTATTCCAATAGATAAATAAACACTATCTTTGTAAAGCTTGTAATGTTGAACAGCCGTTAGAGAGGTGGTTGTTCAACAAGCTGTAGTTTGTGGTGGCACATTATACATTTTGTCAGGTGTACCTATTGTCCACCCACTGTAGTTTAAAGAAATGTGAATCTAACAGGCTAGAGAGGCTACACAACTCTCTTGATACTATCTTGAAAGGCCATTGCTTAAATGAACACTTTTTTTAGCAAATATGTTAATTATTTTATGAGATTTGTCTCTTTGTGTGATAATCACATATAACTGCACCATTTTAGGCCAGAGAAATCCCAACAGTAGGGAGTGTTAAAGGTATAGTAAGACATTTTGGGAAATACGCTCATTTGCTTTCTTCCTGAGAATAAATTAGATGCAAGGATTGATACCAGTATCTGAATCGTAGATATGTAGCCAGATCAAGCAGCTGGTTATCTTAGCTTAGCATACAAAACTAAATCTGGAGGAAAGAGCTAGCCTGGTTCTGTCCAAAGGTAACAAAGTCTGCCTAACAGCACCTCTGGAAAGCTGGCTTATTAATAGTTTATATCTTTATAAGTATAACTTGTTGTTTCTGGGGGGGTTATGCGCTGGACTGTTTGGCTTCCCATTCCACTGGTTGCCTGGCAACCAGTGGAATGGGAAATTACTTGTCCTGGCAAAACAATAGTTCGACACATAACCCCTGGTAAAAGTCTTTGTACAGGTTGAATAAAGAGATGTAATCTGTTCATTTGTGTGGTTTAGAGGTGCTGGTAGGTGGATTTCTCTCTGTTTCTCGTCTTTGTGCTTAGCTGAGATGAGCTGCTGCTAGCTGAAGCTATATATTTACCATGCACAAAGGAGAGTGCTATGAAGTTTGTCATCTAACTTTCTCCAAAAAAGCCAATAATTGAATTTCCCAAAATGATGATCTATTCCTTTAAGGTCTCACCCACTAAACCACATGTAGTTTGTCAACAACAACAGTAAGAAGAAAAACCACTGTAGATATTAATCCTGTATTTCTTTTGCACTGATATCCCTCACAGACAAGAGATGGGGTACTGCTCCAGCCTTTAAAAAGCCTCTCTGACATACTTAAATAGACCAGAGAATCTAACGATTGTCGTGAGTTACACAGCTGGTGTTACTATTTCTGTACAAATTAGTCACCCAGCGTTTGATTAAAAACCCACTATTGTGGATTTGGACTGTAGGTTTTCCAAGCTACCCACTGTGAGGCAAAAAATATCTCGAGTCTGACTCCTGAATACTGAGCCCATGTGCTGGATCAGCATTCCTCTCAGTTAACGCCATGGTCATCCCTCTATAACACAAGTCTCCTTGATTGTTGGCAGTGGAAGGAATGCCCATAGGACAAACGGTCCATTGAAATAACATTGTGAAACTACATTCCAGACATACTTTATGTGTGTCATATAACTAAATGATTTACAAGGCTTTTCATTTGACTGTATTCCTAACGGAGATAATGAACACACAGTTTTCTGTGTTTTAAGCCTTTTGGGACATTTTTGGGTCTTTCTGCTAAAGATTCAGTTGGGGGGCTCTCTAACCGCAGTGATTCTCAAATGTCTGCTCACACTTGAGACGAAAACATCAAATCATTGCCTCTCTACAGATGTGTTTTATTGTTCCAAAAAGCTAAACTGCCTTTCCTTTAAAAAAACACCAAATTCCTTCTATACAGTTTCACATTGAGATTCATTGTGTTAGAGTGACGTGCCTCCTCTGTCTCTGAGAATAGATTTCCCATTGTAGATTAGCACTACTAGACTTATAACCTCCTCATGTCATCAGTAGTTAACACTATAATAATACGTGTCAATGGCACAATATTCTTGCATTCACAAATAAGTGTCCAGACAAAAATGTAAGCTACAGTCATGTGTAGAGTTTCCAGAAGTAATTCAACCCACTAGACGTACATGTATTACTACGGGTAATATTATGTTGACACGTTGCTTTAAATTTGACGCACACATTCTATACATACCTATCTATCCAAACATCATTTCCGTCTTCATATCCAAATCCATTTTTTCTGCTTTACCCAATTCTCTCCTTGCATTTTTACCCTTATCGGTCCTCAAGAGTCCGGTGGGTTCACTTTCCAAGCAATGCTGCCTTTTGTCCATTTGATGAATGTCCAGTACTGCTCAGTACATCAAAATTAGTGAATGGTCTAGTACAGTATGTCCTCACAGTTGATTCATAATTGGCTCTGGTTGTGGTGTAAATCATTTATAGAACCAAATAATGCATGTGCATATGAAGCTATGAAGGCATCTGAATGTACATTTGCACATGTTGTCTGTCCTAGTAGCTGTCAGTGCTTTTGCATTTTGTCAGCAGTTTTTCGTCTAGTACTCTGTTTAGCACTGTGCGTGTGTGTCTAGTGTTCATTGTTCAGTGTGTTGTCATGCACAGCACGTTTTTTGATTTACTGATTTGTATCTTATCAACCCTCCATGTGTGTGTTTTGTGTGTGTGTTTGTGTGTGTGTGTGTGTGTATAGGCCGGTATTGCAGGAGCGCCTGCTCGTGCCGTATCAGCTGTAAAGAACATGAACCTCCCGGAAATGCCCAGAAACATCAACATTGGTGACATCAGCATAAAAGTGCCAAATTTACCCTCCTTCAAATAGTGGCAGCGAGAGCTTGAACCTGCAGATGTCAACCAGTGTTTACCGTGATGCAATCTGTTTACCAAAACCTCAAATTACTAACTTTTATCAAAACTATACATCTTGAAGGTACTGTGTGATTTGACACTCCTTTCGTCTGGTGTTATCTCTTTGTTTTTCCTGTTAAAGAAAAGAGTGTTTTACGTGTTTCTTTTTCTGTTGGAAGGGAAAATGAAGTATTTATTTATCAGTGGTACATTCCTTCTGCCTCGATGGGGGTTGGCCCTTGACGTTTAGCTGCTACAGTACAGATCTGTGTCAGTTTGTAACTGAAATAATTTCACTGACTCAAATGTTTACTTGAGTGTGGCGGGTAGTGAAGTGTTGGGACAGTCTCATATGTTTGGTTATTCCAGACTAGAGGAATCAATCCATGGTGGAAAGAGCATGAAACCATTTCGAATACCAAATTGGGACAGGTCTGCTACAGTATTGAAAGTCATACATTACAGCTCGTTTGTAAAATCAGTGCAAAAAGTAAAGAATATTATTATATTGCAAATACGCTGTGTGATAGAAATATGAATATATATGCTGAAATGTTTTTTTTTTTTCCTTTTCTTATTTGTATGCAAAATATTTTTAAATGATTTATCATGTCTTATCAAATATTTCTCTTAATTTTAATCTGTGCATGACTTTTTTCTCTCTTCTTTTTCAACATAATAAACTGTCGAAACTCAACCTTGTGTTTGTGTCTTTGTGTTTGTCTTATTTCATCATTGCTGTTATCTTATATTGTCAGTATGTGTTTGATACAGTATATCTATGAAAATGTTCTTAGATGCAGCATGTCATTACATTTTCCCTGGTGATGTCCCACGTGTAAGATCTTGCATGTGGCAGATATGGCAGGTCATTGAGGATCATGTAGTGAAACAGTAAATTGTACCACTTTCTCAAGTGCCTCTTTATTAAGAGTTTATAAGATGTAACTGATGTCTGTATTAATGTGTAATAAATCATTTTCTTTATAGATCAGTTACATACACTTAAAAAGGCCAACATTTGGGTGGTGAAAACTTTCCTGGTCCAACCCTTTGACCACTTATTCCTGACAAAGGGCTGCAGATGATAGTTTTGTTTACACCTTGTTAACACATCAAAGTTACATTAATGCAAAGCTTTGGATAATTAGGTTGCACATTGCACATATTTTCTGTACTGTGAACATTTGCACACTCTTTGGTCAATATTTTGCACATTCCACCCTCTTCGTTTTAAACACTCTAGAGACACATTTCACATATTTTTAATATATTCTTATTAATATTTTTTTGTTGTAAATTAGTTTTCTTTTTTCTTTCACTATGTTTACCTTGAGCGTTATGCATCAAATGCCAAGGCAAATTCCTTATTTGAACATGTACATGGCAATAAACCTATTTCTGATTCTTATAAACACTTAGTTGCAGACTTGACCTACCCTTTATTGATGACTGTAGAGAGATTATTGATCACATATTAGAAAGTGAAAAACCAATGAGCATTTATTATTGGATTACCAACATTTATAACAGCATTATTACCAAAAAGAAAGAATGAACACCTGTCGATTCTTTTAGGGATTGGGATTTGGTATTAACCTGGTAACCCATAATCTGTTCTGATTAATGTCTTGATTAATATGAGGCATTAATACATTTATAAACCATGACAGAAGCAGCAGTTACAACTTATAAGCCTTATATAAGGGATACCAGTCAAATTATAAGGTGTACCTTAATACTTTCTAAAATCATGGCTGTAAAACAGTGATGATACTTCTGCTGTCGCACATTTGTTACCGGCTCTGCTTGTCCTTTGCTTATTCCGTAGTGACCATTGACACACAAACACTTTCCGTGTGCGTAGTTTTTACGCAAACTACGCGCCGACGTATGATTGTGCTGCCAGAGTTAATGTAAAATCAATGACTACATTATTGTTCACACTGTTACGTGTCAGTACATTATTGACACGTTTTCTTTTCTTTTATTCAAACTTTTGAATTTTCTCCATCCTGTACGTCACTGCGCATTCTCGCGCAGCTTTGACTGTCACGTGAGTGGTCTCGTGACAACAGGAAGGAGGAATGACAACAGTGAGGATGCTGCTGCTGCGGTTGTTTTGATGCTTTACACATTTTTTAATTGACAGACAGACACAGAACAATGACTTCAATTATAAAAGAAACACAAAGGTGAGAAGCTTTTTGTTTTTAATTCTCCGATAAATAATTCATCCACTAGCTAACGCTAAGCTGCCTGTAGCCTGAACTCGAGACCCGAATCCATCCTCGGTTATCGATATTGTGATTTATTGAATAAGTGGTGGACTTTAGCAAACAAGTTACACTACTTTGGGGACGACTTATGTAACTGCTGTCATTATTAAACTGTGTCTTCATCAGTTTTTCTTGCACATTTGTTTTCCAAGAAGTTGGAAGATGCCTTCTTTCAATTAATACACTTGTAAAAGTTACATGAAATGTGTTTTGTGGTGGATAAAGTCGCCGTACGTGGTCTAGGTATTGGCAGTCCACTTGAGCATTTTCTTACAGTAAGACTTGGCACAATACTTAACTACATCGAGAACAATTTGAGAGGGAAATGTAAATGGTGTAAGATTTCAGGTTACATTTCACAAGCTACTTTGCAGTTAAAGGTTTTATACTTTTAATTCCCATAATACTGTAGTTATGATGCATTGTTTTTGGCTCAAATTAGGCATCAGTATAGGACAACCAAACCACCTGTAATATATCAGTAGTAGTACACATTTGAGGGGGAAAAAAATGCCTCACATTTTTTAAGTTTTGGAAATAATATTATAAGGAAGTATGTTTCTGATTAAAAGTCAACATCGCTGTAGAAAAAAGGAGAAACCAGTACACACATACATACTCGCATCTCAACTATAAGACCAGTTATTATGTAAGATGCACAAACTGGGCCACCATTCCTCAGAATTGGTAACTTAAAGGTCCAATCTGTAACATTGTGCCATTCTGTTAATGCTTTATGTTGCTGCTGCTATATTTATAGTTTATGTGCATTTGTTGGCAATTTATAGAGTTACCTTTGAAATTCACTGACAGCTAGAGTAAAATATATTTGATATATGACATCAGTAAACTCTTACTGTTCCTTAACTTAAGGATCTGCTTACTCTCTACGCCACTGTCTCCAACGCTCATGACTCTTCTTTCTAAACAGCATAAAAGAAGCAGTGACTTTCATCAATGCGATTGATGTGAACAAGTTCTCCAGGCTGATCTCCCGCATCATACAAAAGCTTCATCTGAAGGTACAGAGGCTGCACATTGCTGTCCGTGCCAAAAGACGAGGCTTTTGAAGCTTTTTCAGCGAGGCTGTCGTGCCACAGAGAGAAGTGCATGCATAATGACTTATTGGAGCATCAATCAGACTTGGCTCTAATGAATGCACACTCATGCCTCGCCCTGTTGATCATTCTGTGATTTCACAAGAATTAGCTGGCTGTCAAAAGGTGTCAGTCATTTATTCCAAGAACAATTTGTCCGTTTAGTTTTATACTTTGACTTGCTAAAATAAATTAATATTGGTTAATGATAATACATAATGTAATGGAAATGTCATGACATATCATGAAAGCATGGGTGTAACTAATAACATTAATAATGACTGTTTTGCATGATTGCTCACTGGCTTTTTGTTACACTTAATTAGAATAGAGCCATTAGTTTAACCTTTGCTTTTGATGCTCTGACGAGACGCAATTTCTGCTGTGAAAAAGGTCAATTCACATCTTATAATAAATGATTTTGCTTTATTGTATTTTATGTTATTTCATTATGAATTTGTGTCTGCCTTCCTCCAAAATGCATCACATATATTGTATTAATGTCTTTTAGTTTGATATTTGACATCCTCATAAACTGAGACAATATATTTCTATTTTTTAATATTTTTATTTTCAAAACATGTTGATTCTCAATCAGAATGTAGCTTTTTTTCTTGTCTTGAAAACAGTGATATTTTGAGGATCTTTTCACATCAACACAGTAAATTATTTTTTTATTTTTATTTTTTTAGGGAGAGCGGACATTCAGTGAAGAAGAGGAGCAAAAACTTCAAGCTGCTCTCTCATTGGACAAACAGGCTCTCAGTCTAGTCCTGGAAACTGCTGCCTTTATACTAGAGCAGGTGAGGGGTGGGGATTTGACATTATTATAAGGGTTTTACATGATTTTTGTTTGCAACATGACTGAAATGCTAATTAGTCTGAGTTTCTTGTATGAGGGTTTTTTGTTCTGTCAGCATATTCAATGTTTTAAGCAGTCAACATTAGGTTTTAGATGGAGAAGGGAGAAAAAGACTCTGTGTGAAGATTACAATTGCTTTGGATTTGTAAAAGAAGAAATATAATGACTCTAATCCACATTTTTTAATGCAGAAGAAGACATTTTATATTTAACTTCTTGTGGTCGTTTATATTATACAGAAACAACAGCGACAGTGACTATTATTATTTACAGTAACTGTGTAGCTGTGTAAGAGACAACTTCTGATGACACAGTTCACAAATCTCTGGTTTTATACTTTTGCATAAGTGCATATTTTTAATAACTCAATATGAGAGAGCCTCACTCTAAAGAAAGAATTAAGAAATTGTGTCTGTATGGTAATGTTGTCTGTAGCTTTTGTGCCTTTTTGTCTATCACATTATGAGCCCATTTCTCCAGCTGGGGTCACTGTTGTATAGTGAATTGTTGTTCATGTTCATCATCATCAGTCATTACTATTAGTGTAGTTGTTGCTACTGTTGTTGCTGTGCACCTGTCTGTCTGTCTGTCTGTCTGTCTGTCTGTCTCTCTCTCTCTCTCTCTCTCTCTCTCTCTCTCTCTCTCTCTCTCTCTCTCTTTCACCCCAGCTGGTCAAGGCAGACTACCACCCATCTAGAGCCGAAGGATCTGTCCTAGGTTTCTGCCTTTTAACAGGCAGTTTTTCCTTGCCCTTGTCGCCAAGTGCTTGCTCATGGTGGTACTGTTGGGTCTATGTAAATAATGTGATAAGGAGTTCAGTCTAGACCTGCTATATTTGAAAAGTGTCCTGAGATAACTTCTGTTATGAATTGCCGCTATACAAATAAAATTGAATTGAATTTAATTGTTGTATTATAGCAATGTTGAGTTGAGTAAATTTAAATAGGACTGTAAGAGTGAGCCGTTTCACCTGTAAAACATCGTTAATGGCAACAATCATTACACAGTTTCTACTCTCCCTTGTATCTCCTCTCTCTCTAGGCAGTGTATCACAATGTAAAGCCGGCCTCTCTGCAGCAACAGCTGGAGGCGGTTCGTCTGGACCCAGACAAGGCTGAGATGTTCTCTCAAACCTGGGCCACAGCTGGACCTGAGCTGGTGGACAGACTAAAGCACAGTGTCTTTGCCCCAAAGAAGGTAAGTATTATTTTTATTTAAGCTTAATGAGCTCCCACACATTAAGAGTAATTATAGCCCACTTTTCACACTATTTCATCACTGTTTTGCGCTGAGCGCTGTTTAGTGAGACATTGTAATCACTTGATACTAAATTGAGAAACATCGGACGATCCGTATCCAGACTGATCTGCTTTTATTCATTCCAGATGTTTGATGATTGTTGATAAGTTGTCACATTAACTTTAAAACTCGTTCCTCTCTCTAACCTTATTAAGCAGTGACACTTCAAACAGCGTTCCTTTCAAAGTCAAATGAATTAAGATCTAGCACAGAATAAATAAGCAGCATGTACACATCAGTCACCTTATGCTGGAGTTGTTGCTACTGTCATACATTAAGACATCTCACCTGTCGGGGTCTCGGAAGTAATCTTCGTCTCCCCCATGAATTTGTTGCTCCTAGCAGGAGGTGGTGGCAACCATTGATCCTTGAGACGACCTCTGCCACCTCTTTGACTTTGGGCAATATTTATGTCACACAAGAGACTTTATATAACTATTTTTTAACATATATATTTTCTATTCAATATAAAGCAGGCTTTGACAACAATTTTATTAATAAATACAACCCAGCTTGAACAAATATCAAGTGTTGTTTAGGTCACTTTTGTGTGTAGAGTTTTAAGTTAGTCTTTATATTGGTCACTGGTAGTTGTGTGATTGGCCATCCCAGTTGCTGTTTACAGATATGTATCTTTGTATGCAGTGAACAGTGATTATTACTGTTATTACTGCTTTAATTAACTGCTTTTGCTTTTAAAATGAGTGAACTCCTTCTTGGATGGCTACAAATTTCAAATTAAACACCTACCAAAACATATTGACAAACAGTACGATGGAGCAGGAAATACAGAAACAAATTATTAAATACATCAATAAGGTACTACCTGTTTTTATGAAATTTAAGTATATATTATTAGTCATTTATGTATTACATGATATTAATATACAGCATGCGTATTAATTTAAATGAAACTGAATAATTTGCATATACTGAAGGTAAAATAAGTAAAACATCATGGAGTTGCGATGTTTATTCATGCTAGTGTGGATGTTGTTCCAGTCGTGAATAATGTTGCCCAGCCCTTCCCTGCCTCACACCTGTTCTCAGATGCTGTGGAAGCATCCAGACCCAATAAGTCACACATGGTTTATTATTATGGCCTCTCTCTGCATCATAAAACACTTAACTGCCCTGCCTTGACTCAGTGCTGCTAATCTATCACACTGCTACAGCTGACTACGACTGAGAATAATAGTCTGACAACCTGCAGCTTGGAAGCAAGGTAACTTAAACTTTGAGGAGATTAAGCAAAGTTCTATAGTGGTAAATCTTCATGTCCGTTATAATGACTATATTCATAAGTGTGGTGATACAGTGACTTATAGTAATACTGTTGGCTGTAGGTCATCTGGTCAGTACATGGTCAGCCAAAAAGCCATTAATAAAGTGTGCACACTCAGATATGTATATAAAAATGTATTATTCTTCAAAGACTGAGTTAATTGTAGTTAAGGTGAGAAAGTTACAACTTCTCATGAATAAACCGACAATATGCTGGAAAGTCTAGAACAAATCAGAGCTGCAACAATTAGTTGATTAATCAATTAATCCATTGAAAGAAAATAATTCTGTAACTATTACGATAATCATTTTGATTGATTGTTTTCTATTTGCACATTCTCATTTATAATAATTATAATAAAGTTGATTAATGTAGCACTTGTCAAAATCTAGAATAATCAAGTGAACGATGAAAAATCTAGTGAGAATATAATGAGGTAAACGTATGAATAAAATATCAAAATATTCATAAATATAAACAAAAATGAATATTCCTTCAGAAATTCTGCTTCTACTGTTATTTTATGTGAAAAGTGCCACTTTACTTTTCTTATAGTCTTTATAAATGTGTCAAGGGCATTAATTAAATAGAAGTGTGAGGCTTTATTAAGACTGAATATTAAAGAAAGACTGGCTCCATTCATGTGTTTCAGCTGGAGTACGTCGGCTGGCAGTTAAACCTGCAGATGGCCCAGTCCAGCCAAGCCAGACTGAAGTCTCCCAGTGCTGTCCTCCAACTGGGGCTCCGCAGTGAAGATTCTGAGGTGTGAACACACACACACACACACACACACACACACACACACACACACACACACACACACACACACACACACAGAGCATGAACAGTGTACACGACTGTCATTATTTTTCTTGCTCTGCTTCTCTTCACTCCCCCCATTGTAACCACACCAACAACTAAAGAACCCTATATCCACTGTAATCGGAGAACTGTTCTGTGTTTATGCCAAATGAGAAGCATCTCCAATCTGTCCCTCTTTCTTTGCTAATAGATGGTAATCCCACTGGTGTCTGTCTTGACCCAGAGGCAGACGTACATCTGGCTCCAGAGTAACTGTAGTGTAAAGACCAGAGATCAGGGAGCTTGTTATCTAAAACCTCCAGGGTGTCTTTGTTCTCTTGAGAGACTGACTTTGGAGCTAGGATTGAACAGCGTTGTAACTAGCATTGAACTGTGTGATTTTATGCACAATATCCAGGCTTTGCAATATGTTTTAGATTTAGTCTAGATGTCTGCCTTATTGGTGACTTTATTGGTGATGTTAGTTATGGATTACTTATTTATATTCTTAATATTCAAATGTTGCGTATAGATATAAGCGTCAATTTAAAACATTGTATTACATAAAGGATTTTGGTGCAGCATCCCAATGAGGCCTAAATATTTGTAATTATAAAGAGAAACTGCAGGAACATGATATACATATGGTTCTGACTTTTTCCACGGTAGCGTTTCCCTGTTTCCATTCATTTGTATTCAGTAGAGTTTGTTTGGATGCCAATTAGCTAATTCTGTGTAGTTAGTCTAATAGCAAAGATCTCACAAGCCTCCCTCACTCATTTCTTTCTTTTCCACTGGGAGAAGGATTTCTCTGTTGCTGTAGCAAAAAGGAGTGGAAACTCAAAAGGCTCATTCTTTTTCACGTGAAATAATTTTCAGCCTTTGATTTGATTGAAATATTTTATCTAGACCTCAAATATGAACGCATACTAGTGAGATAAGACCAATCTAGTGCTCTTCATGTTTTGACAAATATTTGAAATATATTATAGACTGTAAATGCTACACAGGACTGCAGTTTGTTGGCATGGATACTGAAAATTTTAGTTATGGCCTTCAGGCATTTGACTGGTTTTGTTTAAAGCTGTTTTTGTCTCAAAATGGTGGGACTGATTATCCCCCGAGCCTGGATTGTGTTGTTCCAGCTGACTAGTCAAGTGTCTTTCTTGCATGCTGCTTTGTATTCAGTCCCTAGAGAATGCCGGCTCAGCCTAAATGTGGAATTAGGCAGGACATATTCAAATTGCTGCCATCTTAAACGTGGGCCTATAGGCGTAAGCTAGGAAAAATATATGTTTTTCTTTATCTGTGTGAATGCGACAGCAGTAGAATTTTTTTTTGTTTTAGACTATGTTCTGCTGTGTTTTCCCTAGGCTAGCAAAAGAGGCATTAATTTATTTAAATCCACTTACACAATTCCCCTTGTGGGAGGAGATAGCTGGGGGGCTAAGGCTGGTTAAAAGAGTAGAGGGATCAACTTCACTGAACATTACTGAGGTGCACGTCCTCTGGTGGGCTGCAGGGGGCACTGTTGATTCACAGGCTGCAAAGTGTGCCCTCAAGGGCCTTAAAGTATCTGAGAGATGGATAGGATACCTCGTTTAACTTTGTATTAAGGCAGTTTGAATGTGCACAGTTTTTTTTTTAAATTTCCATCGGTGTTTTCTGATTAGAGTTTCCTGACAGCAAGTTTGTTTTCTTCCAAACTCTCTGAGAATTTCTGAGCACAACGTCTGGAATGTCAAAACACTGCGAAGACTGAGAAGTAAATTAGTTGTGAATAAAAATGAAATTCAGTTGCAAGTGTCATACTAATTACAAGGTAGATTTATAACACCTTCAGTGCTAACTGTCTAAAAGAGGGGAAGGCAAAACTGCTAATAGGAGAAATTAGAGTATTAAAGGTGCTGGAGGTCAGGGGAGGGGAGGAGGGGACATATAGGGCAGAGGTGGTGAAAACAAATAAAAGGATATAGTGAGTAAAATAATGAAGATGAAGAGCATAAAGGACAGAAAATGAAAGAGAAGGAGAAGGAGAGAGAGGAAGGCGAGGGTGGCCGTCTGTATATTATTGATTGCTTGGAACCCAAGTGGAGAGTTGGAGACTCTCCCATCTGACCAGCCTCCTGCTTCATTAGCACTCTCCCTGAGGGGGAGGAGGAGGAAGAGGAGGAGGACTGCCAGGGAGCTCCTTCACCAAACAATATGTGACATACAGTATATCTACAGTGCAGTGGAGGAGATTTTAGATTACATATTTGTAGGAATGAGTGGGCTGCTTCTTAGGATATATATTTTTTTTTGTTTTCATTTAAATATTTACTGTCAGGGGGATTTCTTTCACAACATTCCCCCCTCTGCCTCCAGAGTGCTTGGACTAACAACATATATTGAAATATAGATCACTGGTTCTGCTTCCATACAGCAGTCAGTGTGGCACCCCACCCGAGGGAGCTGCTATTTCCCCAACCGAATTTGTGTTGGGTTCAGTGGAAAGTTGCTGTTTTCCATATGAAAACTGTACTGAGGATGCATTGCAGTACATCTGTGCAGAGGTAAATGCCCTCACAATTACCCTTTAATGATTCAAGAGTGAGTTTGGTTTTATCCTCATAATATGGGTGGAAACAGCCTCATTCAGTGTAGGTATGACATGAAACCTGTTGCATAGTGTGTTTTATTACAAAGGAGGAGCAGCTGAGACAGGAAAAAAGTTCTGAAACAGGAAACAGGATCTTAGCCGTGGATAGAAGGAAGAAGACGATGATGCAGGGGAAGGTGACAGGAAGGACGAAAAATAGAGGGAAGAAGATGAGGAAAACAGGAGAATGACAACCGAGAGTTCAGAGGAAGAAAATGAAGTATAGGATGGGAAGGTGACTACAAAGATGAAATATGGTGAGGGGTGCGGGCGATTTGTGTACATTTTCTTTGCAATTCATCGTGGGAACCTGTGATAATAACAGTAGTGTGTGTGTATTGGGTGAAGTTATTAATGGGGTGCAGAGTTTTCAATTTATCAACACACAAAAAAACCCTGTGCTTTTATCTGTATTTTAAGAGGGCTTTTGCTAAGCATCCTTTCCAGACTGCAGATAATCAGATTCATTTTTTACCAGCTGCACAGAACATGAAATAGAAGTACTCAATCTACCCATTGTAATTCTGAGGTGTTGTCTGCAGAGGTTTAGTCTTTGTGGTGGGATAAAGCTGTGCATAAAGAGCGACAGAGAAGTAAAAACAGGAATAGGTGGGTTTCTGCCCGCTACCTTCTTCTCTTGCTTCTCTTACATATCTCCTTTACACAAAATTTGAAGTTGCTGTGTAGTTTCACCCTCACCTTTTATCTGTCCTGCTTATGGTGTCTCGCTGAGGTAAAAGAGACCTCAGAATATGACGCACAAGGATTATGCAAGATAAAAACTGAAACAAAATTATTGGTTTTGTAGGTTTAGATGTTTGCTTCTGTGGTAAAATCGCCAAGAAACATACGCCACAATTCCCTACAATGGGGCTGAACAAACTTGAGTGGTGAAAGCCTGAATGAGTGGACGCCAATTTAAGTCTTTCCAGCTCATGTATTTATGATTGGGCTACACGGTCTTTAGCAAGCTAACATTTTGGGTTGAATGAGCAATTGAGTAAACGTACATTTAGTGGTATTAAGACAACCACTGTCTTTTTGTGATCAACTTTTTATTGAATATTAAAACAACATATAAAAACATACAGAAAAGAAACAGGCCAGAGGAGAACAAGCAAAAAATAAGATAAATATAAGTTTTTTTCATGGGATGTGCAAATACAGTTGTTTTTGGATTGTGACTCACCTTTATTTCTATTTCTTATTTTTGGGCATGGTGGATTACCATGAGCGTAACAAATAAAAAATGAAATGAAGAGAAATTTATAGTCGTATTTCAAAACATTGGCCACAGAATCAGCAGCTAGGCGTTAATAATATATTCAGTTGCATCATTAATTTGTGCAGTAGAAAGCTCCAGGTATAGTATATGACAGGCAGAGAGGAAGTGAGGATGCTTTTAGTCGGGGTGTATCATATTTTTAGCAGTCATTCCAAAAGCTAGCACGATCTGTCTTTGTTGTTTGAAAATGCTGCTAACAGTGACAAATCATTTGGGGGTAAGACAGATATGGTCCTGGGCACCGTCTTGGACTGCAGTTGACATTATTAAAGGTGTCTTGCTTAGTGGCTGTCAACCTTTGTGGCTTGTAAACGAGATGTAAAAGTCAGCTCATGACTCCTCATCAAAGGTTACATAGTTCTACAGCCTGTGAGCAACTTAAGGAAACAGTTTTAACTTTATATAATTTTATATAACTTTTAGAGGCCTAAAGAGGTGAAGCTCTGATGTATTTTACAGCAAAGAGGCCCCAGAGAATAAGGATCAGAAAATAGTTTTTTTGTTCTTCTCTTCTGACTTGTTGATCATCTCTCTATCCCTCTAGCATTTTATCCCTGTTTTTTGCACAGTATCCATCTCCTTTTTTATTCATAAACATGCAAGTAGACACACTGATGTTGCTTTGATGAGTCTGAAAGTTGAAATCCCTTGACAGTCATGGTGTCTCTCTCTCTTTTTGTGTCTCTGTCCTGTGGCATTAGAACGAGCCACTGCTCCGCCGACCAAGGGTAGGGTGACATTTATAATACAGAACATCCACTTGCAAGGCAGACACCGCCGATTTCAATATTTATTGTTGACACGCTAGGCAATAAAGGCACAGGGTAAGAGCTAGTGAACTCATGTAGCTTCTGCATGCTGGGTCAGACTTCAAAGGATATGTTTAGCTGATAGCTTCAGACAGATTTGATGAGAATTGAAAATTAAATTAAAGCAAAGGTCTTTTGAGTTTCAAACCGCGAAAAGGGAACATTTACTGAATGCAGCTTCAAGACAAAATCCCAAACAGATTTTTCTTCTGTTTCTTCAATGGCCC